ATATATATATATATAAGATGAGTCATTGGAAAAGGTATGTTGCATGGTGTTGACAATTGTTAATAGAGAATCTCTTAAGAAGAAGACGATTCAAGGTGCTTTTATTTTTTATTATTTATATTTATTATTATTGTTATTTATTATTGTATATATTATTTATTATTATATATAATAATAATATATAAAAGAGAGAACGGGCAGTGTAATAATGATAATAATTATTATTATGTGGTTGCATGATCAAGGAGAGAAGAGGAGCGTGCATGATGGCTGCTGCTGTATCATTCTTATAAAAACTGTATTATTTAAATGTGCATAGAGTACAGCAGATGAGGGGGGTGCAACAGATAAAGAGGGTTGTGAGGAAATAGTATGTGACAGACAGTGAAAGATGTGTATAGAGCATGGTGAGAGGAGAGGTGATGGGGATTAGAGAGAGGAAAAGATGTAAAATGGGGGAGCGTTTATATTTGTTGAATGTGTGTGTGTGTATTTGGGATTATTTATTGTTATTATTTATTATTATTATTATTTATATATCTTTATTATTATTAATATTATTGAATATTGTATTATTTATTATTATAATTATAAATATAATTTGCGGTTATAAGATGGAGACGATACAATAAGCAAACACAACACACCTTGTATATAATTATTATATTATCGATTGATTGATCATCTTCATTCGGATCTTATTATATACATTCATATAGTTATAATAAATATATCATAGTTAATATATATTATTATTATTTTTATTAAATATATTATTATTTATAATATATAATATTAAATAATAGTAATATGAATGGTAGTGATAAAAAATGAGAATGTAATATTACAGTTTACCTATATATATTTAATGTATTATAAGAATATTTTTGTATATTTATATTTATTTAAAATTTCACATTAACAGTACATAATAATAATAATAAATAATTATATATATGATAATAAGATAAAAATTATATTATAATATTGATAATAAATAATCATAAATGTAATACTAATGATAGTAATAAATATAATAATATAAATTGAGAAATAATAAAAATAATAGCAAAAATATAAATTTAAAAAATAGTTTAATTTTTTTGCAGACGCAAATCAATTACTGAAATTAATTCTGGGAATGGGGATGATTCGCTTCATTTAAATTGTTTTGAGATTGCACTTGAATGCATTGAATAATATATACAATAATAAATATATATAATAATAAATAATATAAAATAAAATAAATAAAATGAAATGGTGATTGGATTAAAATGAACTTTTATAACGGATTAAACTCTGATTTTATGTGGATTTGAGTGTGGATTACGGTAGTTTATATTCGGCAAATGGTGTTTATATGTTTTATTATTATATATTTTATATTATATTGTTTATTTTTATATTGTTTATTATTTATATATTTTTATTTATTAATGTCATTTTATTTACTATTATTGTTGTATATGTAAATGTATAATGTACGGTTGTATTATTACAATATAGATTTATTTTTGTTATATATAATGATGACTGTAACAATAATATATATATTATTATATAATAATTTTAAATATATAATAATAATGTTTATGTATAATAATTATTATATAACAATAATATATATATATATAATAAATAATAAAAAAATTCAGGTAGGAATGAGCTGATAGCGAGATATATAAAGATTCGGTGCGGTAAGACGCGAACGCGCAAGCAGGTATCGTCGCATATTCAGGTGTTGGCCAGGAAGAAGGCACGGGAACAGCAGGCAAAAATTAAGGTTATTATTTATTATTTTTATTTATTTTATTTATTTATTATTTATTATTTTTATTTATTTTGTTTATTTATTATTTTTATTTATTATATATTATTGTATATTATTATGTATCAATTGGAAATATTTATTGTTATTGTTGTTATTATTATTATTATTGAATAATATTTGTTATTTTAGAGTATTCCTTACAATAAAAATAAATAACATACAGTAATAATATATAATAATAAATATAATAACAAAATAATAGTTCAATTAAAATATAAATTAAAAAATAATTCAAATAATAAAGATACTTAAATATTATAAAATAAAATAATAATTCATATTTGAGTAATATAAAATAAAAATATAATAATAATACGAAATAATGAAAATAATAATAATAAATATACAATAATAAATATAATAATAATAATAAATATTTGCAGACCGCAGTCGAACCGCTCGCGTCCACCCCGCTAAGCGCAAGCTCCGCCCCCCCGTCGTGCAGCTCTCTATCAGCGGTATCGAACAGCCAAATACCCACCCCCCTGTCCGATAAGGACAAGCTAATGCTATCCCTCACCTCAAATCAACATCAATTACTATTCACCAATAAAAATATCCAACGAAATATTAATTTCTACAATAATAATAACAATAATAATAATTCCGCGTCGATATATAATAATAATAATTTATTTAATAATAATAATAATATTAATAATAATAATAATGTAAATTCAACAATGGCCACAAACCTGCCCTTCGCTACAGCGAATGATTTGAAAGCGTATCAAAGGATCGCGGAGTAAGTTTTATTATTTATTATTTATTATTATTGTCATTTTCATACGTTATAATAATAAATATATAAATATGATATATAATAATATATGGTAATAAATATAATATATAATAATATATATAATAAATATAATAANTTAATAATAATAATAATATTAATAATAATAATGTAAATTCAACAATGGCCACAAATTTGCCCTTCGCTACAGCGAATGATTTGAAAGCGTATCAAAGGATCGCGGAGTAAGTTTTATTATTTATTATTATTTATTAGTGTTATTTATTATTATTATTATTGTCATTTTCATACATTATAATAATAAATATATAATAATAAATATGATATATAATAATATATGATAATAAATATAATAAATAATATATATAATAAATATAATACTAAATACAATATATATTAATAACAATACAGTAGTATTTAAGGATGAACGGTTACGACTTAATATCAACATTAAACCAAAAGATATCGCCATCTACATCGGGTGCTCACATCTCTTTATTAAATAATAATAATGCCACCTCTCCAATAAATAACAATAATAATAATAATAATAACAATAATAATAATGTATACGACGAGAGAGTAATCGCCTCCTCTCAGTTAACCCTATGCGGGTTTACGGCATACGTGCAGTTGATACCGAATAATGTGAACTCGAGGGTGGATCTCGTGAAGATACCCAAAATGGTAGATGAACCCATAGAGGTGGGTAGTTTTTATTTATTGTTATTGTTATTGTATATTTTTATTATGTATTGTTATTATTTATTGTTATTGTGTTATATTATTTACAGCGTTATTATTATATATATTTATTATATGTTATTATTATTATTATGACTAGGTGATGCTGACATCATTTGAATAATTGTTTTGTGTTGTTTGACAAGAGTAATTATTATATATTATTATTTAATATTTATTATTGTATATTAATAATATATAAGTAATATTTTATAATATATAAGTAATATTTAAATAAATTAAATATCATTATGAAGAATATTATTAATTAATAATGCCAATAATTATACCATTATTGGAATAATTATAAACGATTTTATATTATTTATTATTATACATTAATAATGTTAATAAATATTCATCATATTAATAATACATAAAATAATATTTCAAAAAATAAAAATAATCTAAAAAATAATAAATAGTATAAATAAAATAATATAATATAAATATAAATAATATAAAAATATAATATAAATATAAAATAACAAATAATATTTCAGACGTTTAAATTGGAGGACATAATCGAGAAGTATCCATCGGTTTTGGTGGAGTTATTTAAGAAGGGACCAGAGGACTGCTTTTTTCTGGTTAAATGCTGGTCGAATGTGGATTTTGAGTTGCCGTCGGGGGAGGGGGATGGCA